CGTGTGTAACCTAGCCTATTGAAGGCACTCAAGGCAGAGGCTTTTCCACGCGCTGGGGTCGGTCCACCACGGGGAGGGGAGGCGGGATGGGAATGGACGAGGATGTGTCCTGCGACTCCACCTCTTCGTCGTTGCCTATTTTTATGGCCAACGGCTGGGGATGGGGAGGTGGCGTAATGTTCTCCCCCGTCCTTGGCATCAGTGCGTTGAGGAAGGTAGGGTTCTGAGCCAGGCTGGCTATGATGGCCGATAGAGCGGCTTGGAGTTGAGGGTCAACAACGGGAGTAGTCTATTGCCCTAATGCATGGTCACCCTTGTCCATGCGCTTCTTCTCAAGGCCGATGCGGGCGTCTTCAGCGTTGCTGTTGAGATGATTGCGAAGGTCGGCCGTGGGGTTGATAGTCTCTTGGAAGATCTCCTCGTCCCTTGCCTTGTCGGCCGTAGTGTCGCCTGACTTTTCCCTATTCTCCTGAATCTCAGGGATTGTTTTGCCATCGAGGTTGCAGTTTGACCTTGTTCTTCTCATAGTTAGTTAGTTGTGCTTGGTAGCGACGAAAGATGCTAACTTGATTGTTCTAGCTCTCAATGAAAGCACCAAATGATAGAGTATTAACTCTTAAAGAGAAGGGAGAACTAGAGAGATAAAGTGATATGTATAAATGATTTCTCAACCCTTTACATGGCTCCCATAGGGTGTATTTATAGGAGAAAAGTGGGTTGGGCTCCCAAGTCTTGGGCTTGGGAGGCCCATTACAATATAAGGCCTTTAATGGGCTGGATACAAGAATTTGACTAAGTATAGAAACTGTCCCTGCGGGATTTGTCTGGCCGACGGGGGCTCTGGCCGACGGAGGCACTGGCCGACGGAGGACAAGTCTTCTCCTTAGCTTCTGGATCATATTTTGGATTGACTCTTCTTTGGCCGATGGGTGTCATCTGGCCGACGGAGGGCCCACTGGATGACGGCTGTGCTCCTCTTAGTCTTCTGAGTATGTGGCTCATAGGGTCCGGACCCATATACTCCATCATCCGTCTTGTTGAAAAGTTCTTATGGCAAAACGGCACGGTTATTTAGATAATAATTAAATAAAGTAGTTTGAGTATATTTTAAAAAATAATTTAAACAGATATATAATATAATGTGTTTAGTGTTGATAACAGTGATTCTATAAATGTATTATTTTTAATATTTATGATTAATTTGTTATTTAAGATTGTTAATTGTTTTCCAAAGTGGAATTGAGAAGGAGACGTCCTAAAAAGGAAAGCGAAAATGGAGGGAGTACTAAATGAGTGTTTGCTAAAAATTAAAATAAGTATTTTTCGGCTTTTGACTTAAAAAAAGCTGAATGAGTGTTTTCAATTGACAACTTCTACTTAAATTAAGCACTTAAAAGCTAAAAGGTGGAAGCAAATGAAAAATTTACCCGCACAGGTAGCTCAGTTGGTCGAGCGGTGGGAAAAATTGGACCTAGACCAAGGTTCAAATTGTCACGCCCCGGACCTAGCCGGACACGTCAACAACCCGCCGTACAGTACGAATAGTCAACCGTAGTCCAACTCATCCATACTATACAAGGCGTCATGAATATCATTCACACATAGTACATCCATAAACAAACATAATGTGAAACATTCATTTAAAACAGCGGAAGCATTAATACAATTGTTCAAGCCACACTTGGCATAACTAGGCATACAAGCCCCCAAAGTAATTGTTCAAAAAAATAATGTTCATGCGCATTGTTATCATTATTTTGAAAACAGGAAACAGAAGAAGCACGAACCACGTCTTCTCCTTTGAATATCCCCGAAGCAACGGGCGCCGGTAGCAACCTTCAAGTTCTACCTGAAACTGTGAGGTGGCCTCCCCCGTGAAGGGGAGGTCAGTACTTGGAAATATTTGACAAGTACAATAGCAACTATACTAAGTATAATCAACGTTTTAATTTCCAAGATCCTCAACTTAGGGTACTATTATATTATAGGCCATAACCCTCGGTTACCCCTTTTACTTTTAACTGTACTTACTTTACATAAAGTCAAGTAGTCGGCCCGTAGGCCCATATTCATTTAGAATTCATCGTTTCCATTCCCCCGTGACCGCAAGTCACGATAACCCCGTGGGGTCCCATCGAGCCCTAATTGTATAGCATGGGCTCGGCCCAACTACATCTCTATGCAATCCTCTAGCTCAATATATCATATCAAAATTTGTATGGCAAGGGCTCGGCCCAACTACGTTTCCATACCAACCATAACTTCGTGGCAAGGGCTCGGCCCAACTACGTTTCCACGGAGGTCACACATACATGGCAAGGGCTCGGCCCAACTACGTTTCCATGCTAATCATATTACATGGCATGGGCTCGGCCCAACTACATCTCCATGTCATCCTAGAGTCCAACTCTAATTATTTTCATAATCAAATTCTCAAGCAAGTCCTATGCCTAGAATTAATTCCCGGAGGTGGCCTTTAGGCCTACCTCTAATCACTCCTTAGTGTTCATACCATTCATCCTTAAGTATCTCTTGAGACTACTTAAGGCATATCTATTCACAATCCTACCTCTTAGGATTTATTTCATCGTTTATTTATATTAATTCCCCGACTAGTATTTTGATACTAATTGGATAACCCTAGAACATGCCAAGTTCCTATTTCCCATATTGCATTTCATTTCCATTGATTTCTCAATCCAAGTATAGTTTAATCTCAATATCAAAAATATCACTTTAATCCATTCATGAATTTCATACATGAAGTAAAGTATATTTTATCACAATGTCATCTTAGTAATTTCATTAACATGCCATTCCATTCATTTCACATAATCATACACAATTATTCTAAATTTGTATATCATGCTTCACTTACTCATATTCATTTTATTTTCATTTAGACATTATTAATCTTTAATAGTCCATGAAAATCCCATCTAATTACTTTAGGCATTCTTATGAAATTAACTCACTAATTATAAGCAATATAGTCAGCCATCCTCACCTTATGAAGTGCTGAAATAGTTGCCTTTGCTAAGCCCCTCGATCAATCCCCGTTCTAGGCCGATTGGAGGTGTAAAACTGGTCTGCTGGGCAAAAGCCGGGCGGCTTTCACGAAAGCCGGACGGCTTTCGTAGTCTGCAACTACGAACAGCTCCCTATATGTGGCGGTTTCCGGCGATTTCGACTCCTATCGATTCACCAACTCTTCTAAGTTAATTAAAACCACTTTATAACAATATTCTACACTTTTAAACGTGTAGAACTCATGGTTTAATCCACCATATGATTTCTAAAAAATCATACAAGAATAAACTAGTTACAAGAATACTCATTGAGTTCCTACCTCAAACACTATACTTTTCTCCTTGGATTTCCTCTTCTCTTGCTTCCTTCAAGCTTGAGCTTTTTGAGAGGTGATGCCTAGAGCTTCTCTCTTCCTTTGGGTTATCCGTATGGCTCAAATGAGGGGGGAGACACCTATCCTCAATCAAACACCAAGTTGAGGTGTTGATAGGGCCCTAAATGGGTGTGCATGTACCTCCAACCACTCCCTCAATCACAAGTCCGGATATGCCATCTTTGGATGTCCCCTTCCCATTAATTTGGGTCAATCAGCACCCATAAAAACGTGGGGTGGCCCCCACTTATGTGGGAGGTCATCCCATTACGTCCCGGTGTGTACAATCGGCCCCGAAAGTTGTATTTCTCGGCCCGTTTTAATCATACTTTATTTTATCGGACCAAATAAAATATATCACGTGTTCCCAATAATTATGGGCCTTTAGAATAGATGTACATTCCCCAACATTAATTTTGGAGCCTCCGAAAATCATTTCGGGCTGTTATCCGCTCAATTACCGATACCGGTAATTGGGCCCCGTTTGACCGACCGGTCAACTCCATGCCTTTCTTATGGCCCAAATAAAATATCCACCGCCATATATATATTATCTAGACCAAGATGAATATAATATGTGGTTCGGGAATTATCGGGCGGTCCCCGTTCCCGCTGTGGGCCCCACATGCAATTTACTATTCACGTAAAAGAAAAAATAAAAATTTACAATTACGCAAATTCATAAATCATCTTTCAAGGTTTATTACATAATTTACTAAAAGTAAATATGCTCGGGGTCGGTGTTACACAAATCCCGCAGCGGCCAAAAGGGGGTTTTCAGAACCTGAAATAAGGCTGGCCCTCTGGTGCGCACGGGTAAAGGCCTACTGCCGATTTGGTGACTGAGTCACCGTGATTTACTCTCCCACCATCCTGTCGGGTCGGTGTGGGGGCCCTTGGGGTTGAGGATTCAACCTTTTGGACGTGGAAGCAGATGAAAGAGTGCTTTAAACTGTTTTTCACTTCTTCTATTATACAAAAAACACTTATTTTACCAAACACTACTCACTTTTTCTTTTCAAAAACACTTTTTTTCTCAAACACCACCAACTTTTACTAGGAGTGGGTATGGTCCGGTTCAGTCCAATATTTCGTCGAATCCGTTACCGTACCGTAAGTATTCAAATGGTTCGGTCTTAGACCTAAACACATTCGGTACGATTCCGTTTTCAAACGAGACAGTATCATGCCATATCAATACCAAACAATGACACTTTTTCCAAGTGTTTAAGAGGAAATTAAAGTTTATCTATCTTCCAAAAATAATCACAATTTATCAATTTTCATATTACATACGGAGTAATTAATAAATTTTATATAAACTATAGTAGTATCAATTTAAATAATTAAACTATACTTCGATTCGGTTCCAAGCTTCCCGTGAATCAGCAAAAGCTGTGAAAGTGTGAATGCACTGATTTAAGTAATGGTATAAATGTACATTTAAATAATTAAATCATACTTCGATCCGGTTTGGTACCAGTTCTCATTTTATGAGAACCGATCATGGCATTGTTTGGAATCGGTCTAGTCCGGTTCTGGATGAAAATTATGAGATCCCTTTCAAATCCCTTTTTGCATCCGGTACCGTAGGAGTCCGGCGGTTCGGTACATGCAGGTTCAATTTAAAAAATCAATTTTTTGAAGCATAGGCGATTCCACCAAATGCTCTCCAAGATTCATGGTCTCCTCACTCTCCTGTGACTGCACCTCATCAGCTCATCTACTTTGCTAGCGCTGAATTCGCCGATTGCGCTAAATTGCACATTTGGTCTCTCTTCTAAGTCAGACTTTCGTCACTGAGCTGCAGTCTTTAAAATTAAACTCCATCTTTTGCTTCAGCCGGCGCCTGTCAGGTTTGCTTCTGCCTTGATTTCATTTCTTCTACTTGTTTGTTTTTTCAGTGTACTTCCCTTCGTCCTAATTTCATTTCTTGATACACATAGTAATAGTTATATGTGTTTTACAACGCATGTTCGGTGATAGTTTTCAACCATCACTATTTTCTATTTTATTCTTTCCCAATTCGTCCCATTTTGATGTTCCCTTGCTCATTTCTGTATTAGTTTTGCCTGATCGGCCGAGCAGCACCATTATAAGATAGTTGACTATTTTTGTGTGGATATTATCTTACACCAACAATATCCAAAAACATTTTGTGTGAGTTTCATTTTTAAAAGAGAGCAAGGAAAAGCCCTAACCAACTTTAAGTTAGACAAATGAGAAGTTTTACAAATGAGGACGACTGCTAGCTTATAATGGTTGCATAGTAGCAGTCGTAGGGGAAAAGGACAGTAGTACATACTGTTAGTGGCGGCACTGCAATGATCCACCGTGGGTAGTGACACTTGGCAACAGCTTCGACCATAGGTGCAGCCAGTAGTAGTCACTGTCAGAGGTGGCGCTGGTGGATGGCGGTACTTCTGACCCACTTACTGCAACCATATGTTGTGCAATAGCAACATAAACTGCTACCATTATTTGTTTCGAAAATTTTGAAGGTACGGTTTTGGTTTGTATGTTTGGTCAGCTATTGCAATGATAATTCTTGCCTTTTAAGTTCTAGTAATGCTTTCTTTATTCAATTTTTCCGTTTATTAGTTCTTTCAATGTCCAAGTTAATTTGATTGGTTTTTGTTTACTATTCAACTTGATGCTTTCCAAATTTCTGATTAGTGTGTCCATATGATTGAGATGCTGAGATGGAGTATTGATAATCATTGACGCTGATGGCTAGCTCTGTGGTTTGTGGAAGTATAGAAAGTCAACTGGTTAAAACATTGAGTGTTATAGTTCTGAAGCGTCACTGGAATGTTCTCTTGAAACCCAAGGTTAGTTTCGCAGTAACTTCAACAATTATTAACCTAACACTACAAACACTGTCTCCTTGTTGGTTTTGGCTTTCTTGGTCATTCTTCAAATGGGTGGAAACAACCATCCCTAATTACCGCCACTCTTTACAATCTTCTTGGAGCATGATTTGTATACTCACAAAACATAAGCATTTTAAGAGCGCAAAAGAAATGCTTCACCAAATCGCACCAAAAGATTTCCTGTCATCGCCTCCAGTTCTCAATTCCCTCGTCAGTGATTCTGATGGCTGTGACGTGAACTCACAAGTGTTGAGTTGGTTGGTGATATTTTATGCAAAAAATTCAAAGACCACTTGGGACGCAATCCAGGTGTTTGAGCATATGAGGGTTTCTAGAATCATGCCGGATGTGCATGCTTGTACTGTGCTCTTAAATTCATTGGTGAAAGAGGGGTTGACCGACACAATGTGGAAGACACACAAAAAGATGATAAAACTTGGGGTTGTACCAAACATACACATATATAACGTATTGGTTCATGCCTGTTGTAAATCAAAGAATGTGGAGAAAGCAGATGAACTCTTGAGAGAAATGGAATTTAATGGTATATTTCCCGATCTATACACATTCAACACATTGATATCGATGTACTGCCGGAGAGGCATGCATTATGAGGCTTTATCAGTGCAAGAAAGGATGAAAAGCGTAGGAGTGGGGCCTGATATCATAACTTACAACTCTCTTATGCACAGTTACTGTAGGGAAGGTAGGATGAGAGAGGCCATAAGAATGTTTGAAGAAATTAAAGGAATTATTTCTCCAAACGAGGTGACATTTACTATAATGATTGATGGCTATTGTAGATGTGGTGATATAGATGAAGCCTTAAGGTTATGCAGTGAAATGGAAGAAAAAGGTTTGTTTGCAGTGGTTGCCACTTACAACTCAATACTCCGGAAGCTTTGTGAAGAAGGGCGGATGAAGGAGTCAATCAAGCTATTAAGTGACATGAGTGAGAAGAAAATCGAACCCAATAACATCACTTGTAACACATTGATCAATGGCTACTGCAAAGTTGGGGATATTCAATCAGCTATGAAAGTGAAGAACAAGATGGTGGAAGGTGGATTGAGACCAGATTCTTTCACATATAAAGCATTAATCCATGGGTTTTGTAAAGCAAGAGATCCAGAGAGAGCCAAAGAATTGATTTTTAGTATGATTATTTCTGGATTCTCTCCAGGTTACTGTTCATATTCATGGCTTGTGGATGCTTATATCCTTCTCCAAACCAACGATGAAGAAAAAGAAGCATTAATTATTAAACTGGCAGATGAGTTTTCACAGAGAGGTTTCTGTGTTGATATCTCATTTTACAGAGCTGTTATTAGGAGGTTGTGTAACAGAGGGATGGTGGACTGTGCAGCAAGGGTATTTGGTGAGGTGATGAGTCAGAGAGGGATATTGGGAGATAGTGTAGTTTTAACTAGTCTTGCTCATGCATACTTTAGAGACGGAAATAGGAAAGCTGCATATGGTTTGTTGGATGAGATGTACAGAAGAAGGTTGATGGTAACACTTACACTATACAAAAGCTTGAATGCTTCTTACAAGGATGATGATGATAATGGCTCTCTAGATGCGTTCTGGAATGATTTGGGGCAGAGAGGTCTGCTTTCAAGAAGTGTTAATGATAGCATCCAACTACAATTGCATTCTAGATGATACTACATACTATTATGTTGGATGAGGATCGAGTCCACTGATTTTGAGGATGGTACTTCTTTTTTCAATTCAAAGAGATGTGGTAATTAATGAACAAATTGTGTATTATCGTTACATTTGTGAAGTGTCATTTATTATTTCACCACTTGAATTCAAAGAGTATGGCATGCCTAGCCAAGAGAGTTCCCATTTCTCCAACCCATTGCTTCAAGTGTTCCAACCTGGGTGCTAGACTCTCCTAAAGTGTAGGTTTTTTCTCTTTTGGTCCCCACCTACTTTAACTTAGATACAGTGTTGGTGTTATTCTATTTTTCTGTTTGTTAATTCTTATTACTATTTTAAGCAGATCATACGAGACCACAAGACCACAAGACCACAAGACCACATCAGATTATACTAGATAAGATTGATTCAGACTGGATTAGATGCTATACTTCAGACAAGAAAATTATTCAGGATTAGAAAACATTCATTTAAGCCGAGACTCAAAGGTTTAGACCAAATCAAATCAAACTAGATCAGAATCATTTAGACTAAACTAGATTTTAAAAAATTCAAAACATACCACCAGAGTGCCAGACTATAGTCCAACTTGGCACTAGATCCCAGGCTGCTCCATAGCTAGCACCCAATGCTTTTTACAACACTGGTGCTCTTTGTAGGTATATATGTTTAACGAGTTCAGCACTCACATGCTTCTCCATGGTGTTCTTGTCAATAGGGATGTGACATTAGATAATGTTGTTGCAGATTGAAACTTGAAAGGATGGCTAGTTCTTTCACAGATTCAACTTCATGTTGTGTTGAATTTGTAGTAAAGGCTCCAGCTCTTTTTGTTATGGTATATGTATTTGTAGTGTACAATGATTAGGATAAGTGATCAGATGTATACTTTATGTACAATGCGCAAACGTGTAAGCTATGATTACTTAGAAGGCTATGATTGAAGAGAGAGCTCTTGGTGGATATCTGATCTCTTGTTAATTTGTGCATTTATACTTGGTTGGTGTTTTTGTTTATTCATGCATGTTTTGATCTGCTAGGCAAACCATTTTGATGTTTTTTTATCATATGGCTTAAAAGAATGTGCCGTTGCTATTCATGTGATAATTTAGCAGTAGAAAATGGCAAAATGGCAGTGGATTGTGATTACAATTTAAGTTATTTATTATAGCCTAAGATATCAAACTATCAAACAAAGTTTATTTTAAAATAGAAAATCACTTATTTGTAGTTAAGAAGGGTCTATTACTCACTTTTATTATATCTTAGAAAGGTTAGTAGTTAGTACTTAGTACGGAGTATAATCTTAAAGGATTGACAAAGTACGTAGTATTATTTAAATTTATTTCTCATGAGTTAGTCGATGCTTTCCATTATTAAAAACTTTTTTAGCAACATTTTGTCCCTGATTTTTTATTTCACGCACTACATTTTGTAATAATAAAAATAAGTAATATTGGAGTAACATTTCTGATTGAATTAGATGAAGTTACTATAGAGGGTCATTTTAGTTATTTTTATACAATTTTTTCTTTAATCTATAAATAAATAAATATATAATATAAGTTTTTATAATTCAACAGATTGAGCCAATTCAGCTGTTTTAGCTTGTATTTCATAAATTTCAACCGATTTAGCCGATTCAATTAAATTTAGTGTTACCAAAATGTTTTTTTAAGTCAACATGACTTTATTTTGAAATGTAAATTTTATGTGCGCTCAAGGCACACATGATCCAATTAGAATAATACCAATAAATAATTTAAATACACATAATTGAAGAAGTAATGATTTGGACCAATCAAATGTATCACATGTACAAATGTACAATATCCTCATTTTTATAGGTAGGGTAGCAATCACCATTTTGAAAACACTATATTACCATGCCTTTGGGTCTGGCTGGGGGAGGGGGTTTGGGTGATTCAACCTTTTGGAGAACTATATTACCATGCCACCACGGCACGCGGGTATATTAATGATCTAATTATTTCATGACTAAATAATTATTGTGGAGAATTCCCAAAAACGATTGAAATTTCAAAATAAGACAACTTTATTTTTATTCTCTAAATATGAATAAATACTTTCAAATTTGGAAAATATTATCATGTTAAAACTCTGTTAATGTCAAAACATGACATTAATTACTTTTATTTTGGGAATAAAATTATGGCAGTCCCATCAGTTGACATACTTGACTCATTAAAAATGTCAAATCATACTTTTTGACCAAATGTTATACTGGTGTTCCGAAACACGAATAAAAGAGTTTTGTTTTAAAAGCTTTTTTTATTCAAATAAAAGGAGTCATCTTTGATCAAATGAATATAATTCAATAGAAATTTGTTAAAGTAACAAAGAAGTTCCATACAACGAGTGGCAATTGTCATGACATGAGTAACTACTAGTGGTAATTATCTACGCTCAAACGCGAACTACAATAGACGTCTATTGTTTTATACGGAGTATAATAAAACTGAGTTAAAAACAATGATGTACCAACCTCTTATTCGATCATGCAAATTCTATTGTCACTATAACTAAAACAATTAATTCATTCACTGTTTGTTAGACTTAAAAATGGTGCATCAGTGCATCACAACTCATTTGGAGAAAGAGAAGGAGAAAAAATCTCTCAATGTAAAGTGATATAACTTTTATATTTATTATCCAATTTTTACAAAATATATATCAAACACCATAACTTTTTATGATCTTACATATGCCACTTATCAAATCTATAGTGGCATTTGACTTTAAATGTGCATTATGGGAAGCGCACATTTACACGGTAGTCGTGAGACATATTAAGAATTCAATTTTCATTATATATTTAAATATATTGTTTTATTTAGTAAAACATGAACTGTTGACATGTCACTCTATTATTTGCGACATGTCACTCTATTATTTGTTAACAAAAATTCTATTATCATAATTATGGAAACAGCTAATTAGTTCCAAACAAAAAGGAGATGGAACAACTATAATGGAAAAAGGAGAAAAAAAGTAGGAGGAAAACTATTAAATAACTAACACTTGACATTATGTAGACTTCACAGTCCACACATTAAAATATTTAATTACTCCCTCCGTCCCTTATAACTTTGCCAACTTTCTTTTTTGGGTGTCCCACTAACTTTGCTATTTTCTCTTTTAAGTAAAGAATTTGTGGTCACAGTTAATTCTCTCCTTTGCACAAACCTCAATCACACAGTTTTTACTTTATTATTCCTCGTGCCGGTCAAACTTGACAAAGTTTTAAGGGACGAAGGGAGTAGTTCGTAACGGAGATGGAACGGCTAATAGAAAAGTCTAGTGAAAAAATTAGGAGAAAAAACGTAAAAATCATATCCTTAGAAGTTATTATGTTACTCTTATTCTTATAGTTTACTCCGTATTACTTATTCTTATATTATTCAGACCAGATCAGATAAAAAGTCATATCAAATTAGCCAAAACATTCAATCCAAATAAGATTAAATTAGAAAAGTACAAATCAAACCATAAACACTCAGATCAATTCAGAAAGCCTTAGACATAATTTATTACTTTTACTATTAGGATGATTCCGATCTAATCTAAATATTTTTGTAGGTTGTTATTGTATGTTGCTTCCATTGAAATTAATTATGAATACTGTTGTTATTATAATCATTATTTGTGTGTTATTATTATTATTCATAAAACATCATATATTATTACTATGGTTATTATCAACGATAATATAATTATTTAATTAACTATATTATTATTAGTGTATTTTTATTGTTATCGGTATTTATAAGTGACTATTATTATAAAAGTACGTGTAGGTTGTTGGTATCTATAATTTAATTATAATAGTAATACTACATATTATAATGGTATTGATAACCCTTATTATGATGACAATCATAGTTATAGAAATAAGGATAACTATAACGATAATAAAATGATATTGTAATTATAATTATAATTATAATTATAATTATAGTTATAATGGTAATTATAATTATAAATATGATGATAATGACAATGATAATCATAATAATAACTTAATAATACTAATAAACACTAAATCACACAAAAAAATATTAAGTTCAGATCAAACTCAGAAAAACTCAAATCACAGTTCGTATACCGCATCCCACCGTGAGCATGTTGCTCCCACAGGCAAACACGTATGTTACTGTTCACGTGGGTGAACAGTAACCTTTTTTTGTTTTTTATATTCTGCAGTAAAAGAATGATGTAACTCGAGTGTAAAGAAATGTAACTCACGTTGATAAGAAATGTAACTGCAGAGAAGTAGAAATGTAACTTGTATAATACGGATTATAAGAAAAAAACATTGATTTCAATGAAAACAAGGAGTCTAATTGCTCAATTACTTTACATAAATAGTGAATATTTTTTTTAATATTAAGGCCATAATTCCTTTTTTAAAATCACTTTTTTGCCAAAAAAAAATCATTTTTTTGCCTTTTTTTTGCAAAAAAAGTGTTTTTTTTTTGTTTCAATAGCAGGTGTCTTCCTTAAAGAGTGAATATGTTCTATTTTTAATATTAAGGCCATTAAAATGTTTTTCAAAAAAGCACTTGTTTTGCTAAATAAATCATTTTTTAACAATTTTTTTTTTGCAAAAAAAATTGATTCTTTTGTTTCAATAGAAGGACTTTATCTTGTGATGTAACTCATTTTAAGGCAAGTGTAAATGTAACTCGCGTTGATGGAAAATCTAACTTAGGTGTATGCAAAATGTAACTTGTTAAGGCAAGTGTAATGTAACTCGCGTATATGAAGATGTAACGCACGCATAAAAACGATATAATTCGCGCATAAAAAGATGTAACTTCATATATTATCAAATGTAAACAATGAAAACAAGGAGTCTAATTGCTCAAATTAAATTATGTAAATAGTTAATATGTTTTGTTTTTAGTATTTAAGGCCATAAACATGTTTCAAAGAAAAGTAATTTTTTTTTTGCCAAACAAATCATTTTTGTTTGCCAAAAAATCATTGTTTTTGCCAAAAAAAAATCATTGTTGTTTGCAAAAATTGATTTTTTGTTTCAATAGCTAGAGTTTATTTTGTGATGTAACTCGTGTTATGAAAAATGTAACTCGCGTTGATGGAGAATCTTACTTAGGTCTATGCAAATGTAACTTGTTGAGGCAAGTCCAAATGTAACTTGCGTATAAGAAGATGTAACTCGTCCATAAGTAGATGTAATTTTATATACCATCAAATGTAATTCCACAAATTGTCTATAAACATAATTCTCACATATGAAATATGTAATATAATTTCATGTTTTTGTGAAATTTAAATTAAAATAATCATTTTTAATGTCTTAAAAACACTAAAAACACATCAAAGATATAATAAATATTTTTTCCCAAAGAGATAAGAATTGTATTATAGAAACAAAATTATGAATATGAAATATAAAAATAATACAGAAATATAAATTCTATTGTAATTTCAATTGAAGATAAAAAAATTGTAGAATAATTGTATGATTATGAAAGACAATATACTTATTTTATGCGAATTAATAAAATTTCGTAATAATTTGGTAAAAAAAAGTGTATGAATATAAACAATATTGAGAAATAAAAATAGTGTATGAATATGAAATGTAATATACTTATTTTATTTAGATTGATGAACTTTTTGTTATGTATTGATAAAAAATATATAAAAAGATTCAATTATAATTTAAGTTGAAGATAAACAAAAGTACATTTGAAATTAAATTTTAGTATTTTAATTTGATGGAAAAGGAGAAGAATTGAAGAAAAGAAAAAAAAGAAAGAAGGAGAAAAGGAGTACTCGGAGAAAAGGAATAACAATGCTTGCTCGAGGAGGAATGAAAAAAATGAAAAAAAGAGTTGCCTAAAGTGGGATCGGCACACCATGAGGAAGGTGGGCCGATCCCACGGTATAATTTGCCCTCAATTCATATTAGAAAGATTCGTACCGCGTGATCATACAAGATTATCATACCATAT